CTTGAAAACATATCTGTAAAGGATTTCGTTTTAATTGAAACTTAGAAAAGTTCGTTTAATAAGGTACGTGATGAAACATGTCTTACTAAATTATTATTTGGAAATCTATTTTGTCTGATTTAAGAATTTTTATAAAAATTTACATTTTCAGGAGATTTTCATGTTAACTGACAAATACACTGCTCAGAACAATTAGGGGACATTATGATTTTGGACATAAACTATGTGTAAGGAAATGTTTTAGTGACTGATGTGTGATGTATAGGTGTTGTAAGGTATGAGAAAAGGAAAAAAAATCAACAAAAAAAAAAAAAAAAATAATAACTTAATTATATTGACGATATTTGTCGGTAAGCAAAGAATGCACAATTTGTGCACAAAAAATATATGTCGGATATAAATGAGTTTCAATAAGGGGTATGGTTATTCTTTCCCTGACCAAAAGCAATGTAGTAGTACGCCTACGAGGCATGGAATCAGTGAGGTTATCAATGTAATTAGAATATTCTGGACTAGGGTATTCTCTTCACACTTCTGTAGAAGAGATCTTTCAAGCTGCTGAATTGTTTCTGAAGATGCTAAGCGACTAGCAACCCTTCTTCCTAAATGTCCCGAACATGTTCTATTGGTTTTATATTTGAGGAACATTCTGGCCAATCCATTTGAAGGATTCCTTCGTCGAAAATGTTTAGTAAAATTTTTCGTCGAAGGATTCCTTCTTCGAAAAGGAAATTGTCCATGAGGGGAGCATGATGTGGCCTGGCTTTAACTTCTATGAGAATGAATATTAGGTGCCCTTCGATTGAGCTATATTGCCTAAACATTTGACCCATAGATATTTGCAAATGGCATTATAACAATCTACAGTGATTTTTTAAAAATCAACTATTTCTTATCTTATGTTAAAGAGCTTGTTTGTGGATTGTTCGTATATATATACACTTGCTAAGCTGTGAATCATCGCAGAGTTTCGGTGTTAGCGCTACTGGACAGATCGAAAACCAATTTTTCCAATCTAGTCGATGTATTTCCAATATATATATTTTTTAGCCGAAAAGGCTCTTTTATTCTCGAAATAAGATTTTGCATTGGATTACTACAAACGGAGTATCACTTTTCAAATTGGCACCAAACATTATTGCCCCGCCTTATTTTTAAAACTTAAATATGCAAGAATCAGCATGTATGTATGTATACTCCTCGTATTGTGAAAATCCGACGGTACCTAGAGCCATCAAGTTTTGGATAATGTAGCCCTCCGCACGAACATGTGCACCTGGGTATTTTGTAAAGTTTTAATGCACTTTTGGTGTAACAAACTCAACGATCTGAATGCGAGCAGTGGCAATACTATTTGAATTAAAACATTTTTGCATCCAGTGCGCGAGACTGGTTGACATTCGAAAAACGTAAGCTATTTATCTTTCAATTTATTTAACAAACTGAGCTCTACGAAATCAATGTATTTCCGGAAATAAAATATTTTTATTTTCCATGCGCCAGCGCGTAGCCATTCAGTAAAACCTAAGATTCTTTTAAATTTAATCTGGAAGGTTACTAAGCAATTTGAAAGCTGTAGATGCAGGTCTTAATATACATTTTCTGCTTTTTAATGTGATTGATTTAAATAACTATGTATTAAAATCATGTTATGCCTAATTAGAAATATTCAATATTTTTTTTTGAAATTACACTAGCTGCTCATTAAAGTCATTATATACTTTTTCTTTCTTATGATAGCTATTTTAAGCGGTTGGCCATACAACCGACTAGTTTTCAAAGAAATAATATATACCGAATAAATATATGGCAACGTCTTACACTCTATGTATGGCAACCTTCAGCCCTCTATTGGGAATTATAAAAATGTGCTGTTATTAAATATTTTGTGATTTTGCTGCTGAATTGAATTTTATCTGGCGAAGAAACTAATATTTAATAAATGACGTTAATGCATAAAAAAACTAATAATAAAAAGAGAAGCAGATCTTTACTATGAAAACTGAATCTGATTTTCAGATATGTGGAATAATGTATTGATATGATGAACTGAGAAAAGACTGAAAACAATATTTAAATATATGCCAACACTTATAACTGCATTAGGAATTTTAAATGTATGCTGTTATGCAACTTCTAAAAATTTTTGTAGTATTGTTGTTAAACTGTATGGGGCATAATTGCAAAAAAAATCATGCTTAGCAATAATGCTAAAAGGACAAAAAAAAAAGAGTTAGCAGGAGTGAACTGGTAGACTGCGAGCTCAGCAAGAGCATAAAAAACCTTAACAAAAACCTTTTGTGGGACCGTTAAAATCTGAAACCTTTCAATATTTTTTTTTTCAATTCTTAGTGATGGCTTTTTAAAAAGCATTCGATGTTTTTTCGGCTATATTCCTACCATTTAATTTTCATGAAGGAGGAATTCAAGAGAGTGATTTTATCTGTCACTGTTTGCAGTCTGACGATTTAAGAAACGATAAGTTCGGAACATTTCGAGAAACAAAAGTAATAGTATCAAAATGACATAAAGTGATTGCATTCAGTTCCTTAAATTTCGCTTTGTTAATTTTGATTAATATTTATCATTACTCCATGATTTTACCCATCACTGTTAGCAGCTTCATAATTTATTTTTAGTCGTATATAACCAAAAATATGATTATTAATTTTTCTTTTCCTTAGTTTTAGAGAATGGAATTATAACAGCGTAACTTATTTTTTTACATGTAGGATTTTATTTCTCGCAGGGCTATTACTTGTTAAATTTACTTCATATAATTATGTTTAAAGTCTCTTAAACTTCATTATTGGAACAAGATCTGAAAAGACACTTTTTCAATTACAAGTCCTCCCCTTTCATGAACAAAAGTGTAATGAAACTGGAAAAGCGTTTACATTTCTATCAGACTCCAGTAAAGGTTTTCTTTAATACACGTGCTAGTATTAAACGGAAAAGAAAACGGAGTCTATTAAAATTGTAATTTATAGCAAAAATTTAGTTCCTTTCACTGATGACGGAGATCTCCCTTTCCTCGCTCTTTTCTCTTCCTACCATTATTTTTATGGATTTTTAGTTTCTTAATCGTTCTTCGCTAAACGACGAATAAAAGTTATGTTTGAATCAAAAGAAAAATTCTTAGTTTTGAGCATTGCCATTCTCTTTGGAGGGATGTTAATATTCATTCGATACTTTTTATCCCTTGGGACGATCAGCTTTCCAGCGTATTGGAAAGCAACAAAATGCAACGTTTGTTGAGTTTTGATTTTAAAATTAGCATTTACTTTCCATGCATGGAATCAAGAAAGAAGAGAGTACATTGAATATGTACAAGAGTAGCAAAAATCTGTGTGAAGTTCTTAACGTTTTCATTTGTTAATATTTAATGTAGTATTAAAAGAAACTTAACCTCTAAATGTGCATAGGTACTTTTGCCCTCTATTTAACTGAATTTTTTGAGCGTACTCGGGAATTTTATATATTAACATCTCAATCTTCGAAAATGCTTAACTATACTTAGTGTTTCCCAATAAAATCGAGATGAGAGATATTATTTCGAAGACTCTCTTTTTTACTACGTCTCAAAATATACTTCCTGATTCTTGAATAATTTTTTACTATAGAAATGACGTCGCTTTTCTGGACTCTGTTCAATCAACAAAAATAAAAGAATCCCTCTAATTGCTTTGCGAAATTCATCTACCTTCGTATGCACCATTTGTCCAAATATTGTATATTATGGCATCTGTAAATAGAGAACTTTTTAGCAATATTTCTTCAACACGCTTTTGTTTTTTTTTTTTTTGTTTTCCTTGCTTCACCTTAACCCTGTGGTGCCTTCACTTTGCATGGCGAAACAGGTTAATGTGTCAAACACTAGTTGATCCACCTTTTTGTCACATACAAATTCTTTCATGCGTAGAAGTTAGCCAATCTCGATAATGATAACCAACTATAGATTTGAATAAATTGTATTGTACAGTCATTAGGCTATTTTGAAGCAGGAAGGGTGAAAATTAATAATGTCTTAGACGGGACTGGAACATGTACCTCTCGAATAGGCGCCGATGTGCTACCATTACACTACGAAGTCATGCTGGAAAGAGGGAGAAAATACCTCATGGTATTACTAATTGTAGCAATCAGTAATACCTCATGGTATTACTGATTGCTACAATTATTGTATTACTAACAACATTAAATGGATACACGGCCCTCACCTATTAATAAGGTATCGCCGAAAAGATTTATGTCTCCCCGTAACCTGATCCCATAAGACGACCTCATTATGAGCATCGCCTTCCCGACTAGAGTGCCCACTGCCAGGCACTTTTTGGTGAGAGATAGTCGTCTACCACCAAGACTGCTCAAGCCCGCCTCCCATATTGGGAAGCCCACCACAGCTCAGAGGCGAGTCCGTTAGCCGTCCTCCCTTCGAAGGTCCTTGCCGCCCCTCCACCACGCCGAGGTGGTCCCTCAGAAGGAGTTGTATTACTAACAAAAGCAAATCTGTAGTTGGTTATTGACTATGTATATATTTTGATAATACTTACTTTATCTTAAAAAAATGTTTTATGACTTATGCCTGAACTTTCGGAAAAAAACTTTCATCAAGACATACTGATAAGAGTTAGAAGAATTGGAAGTTCTGCTTACCTGGAAACGTTTTAAAAGAAATTTCATTTGTAACCTATTTAAGCTGCCCATGTTCTCAGAGAACGCATATCTGCTCACCAAGATCTAAGAATTTATCTTGTATTCTCGTAGTATAGAAAATAGGTCTTCCAATTTTTTTTTTAAATTTAAGAACTGATTTAATGGAAATATAAGGATGAATAATGGAAACCAGAACATGTAACATGTATTTTTTCTCATTTATTTTGTATCATTTTGTTTTAGACTTGCTATACTAAGGAATTGCTACCACAGTCTATTACTTTGAAGCCGATTATATTGTAGACATTATGTTATTTCGAAGCAGGAGACATGAAAGTGAGTAAGGCCCTCGCCGGGGTTCGAACCTGGGACATCTCGAATAGACGTCGAGCGTGCTGACCATTACACCACGAAGGTGTTAAATATTCAGCTGTTTAGTTTCAAAATCTAATATCCAAACTATATGAGCAACAACCCTGGTTAAGAAAGTGTGTGTTAGATATGGAATCATAATTTAAATACCAAAGTAATCAAGTAACGCTAATTTTATTCATTATAATATCGTACAAAAATAAAGCTATGCCATTCTCCAGGGAGAAATAAAAAAAAATAGAACTCCTTTCTAAATTGCTAAACATAGTAACATTAAGAAAAATAAGCATCTCTTTCAATTAATTAACATTTTTACTCAATTAAACAATTTCTCGGTGAATGCAGAAGGGGTCGGTACTGGATGCAAATTGACCCCATCTAATGGTTAGAAGCCTGGGGAGTAAAATCAAAGAATTTTACTTATCCCTATACTAAAACATCTGCTACGTGCTCGGCCTTTTCCCAATACTTGTTAGTGAGAATATCAGAATCAGCGACGGGGCTCCTCGAGTTCAACGTAGACATCATCCCAGGCTAATTCGGTGCATCATCTCCGACGGAAGGAACATCAGATGTTAGTCGACAAACTCTTCAGGTGTCCACTAGGCCTGAGCGATTACATCAAGATTTGAAGGTTATCGAGGCATGGTACCGAGGTAAATGGGATATATGTATGACCGCTGACTATTTGTGGAACATCATGCGAAAATGTCCACAGATTAAACATTACAGGAAAGCCATAAGCGAAATTTTTTATCTTAATATGTATGTTTATCACTTCGTAAAAACAATTTACTATTTGTATGAACAAAATTTAACTTGCACTAACTATATATAACCTTTGTATGAATAAAAATATTCTTTGTGAATAGTGTATTTGGAAAGCTTTTCCCTGAGTTTCCTTTATATAAATATTTTGCACGACTTTTGACATAAAGAACTTATCTTGTAGCTTAGAAAGTTGATCACAGATGATGGATCGAGGAACGGTGGAATGACAGCTTCGGTGAACCCGGCAACTGGCCTTCACGACGAGAACGCATCAGATGCAACACAAAATGAGCAGGTTGTTTATTCCCCTCATGTAGTACATGTAGTAACAGGGTACGAAGGATAGGCACTTAGCTGGTAACGGAGTACGAATGAATAGCCACTTAGCTATACAGGGACATTTCGGTCCTTGTATAACTGTAATTGGAACTGTAATTGAAAAACTGTAACTGTTCCTTACATGTAATTGTAACCGTATCCGGCCTTTATATGTAACTTTAACCGTATATGCCTTCGAGTAATTTAGGTACTGTAAATTTCTCGGTGGTGGTGGCAAAACTATGTAAGACCAGAGAGAACATCTGTCCTCAGTTGCTTAGTTTAGAGAAGAGTTCGCAGTATTGGGGCACCTTTGCGCGAACTTCGCCTTTTGAGATGCGCTTTGCATTGCGTTGTGTTTAAGGTTTTAGTGGTTTTGAAGTGCAGCTATTGATTGCGCTGTGCCACACTGAAAATAACTACACGAATACTTTTGTGAAAAGTTCCATAATTCTAAAATGTTTCTTTTAGGAAAATACATTGTATCAAACTATCATCCTTTCTGCGTGCTTTCAATCCATTACAAATCCGTACGTACGCACGTAACAATATGCAATAATTTCCTTTTATTGCAATTTATCAAGTAACCTAAGAATAACATACGAAATAAAATCAGTAAAATCTAAGAAATAGGAAACTTGCCAATAAGAATTTTCGTTAAATATTAGATTTCATATAAAAGAATAATGGAAAGAAACTCGGCGTTTAGAATTAACTTCACTTATTTATTGTATTGCTAATAAAAGAAATATATGTTGTTAATAATAGACTGAACCAATAAAGCAGCGACATAAAAATAGTTTTAAAAATTCCCTCAATGAGTCTATTGTAAAAGCCACTTTATTTAATGGAATGTCTACAGGATTTTGTTATTCAACTGCTTTAAATCCAGAAATTTAATATATTTTATCTATATAAATTCTTGCGTTTCTTAAATATTTCCACAGAAGGCCTTTTTAAAGTCTACTACGTTTTGAAATATGCGTAGTTAAAGTAAATAAGAAACTCTATTATGACGTTAGTAAAGTAGATAATGTACAAAAACAAGGAAGTAAAAAGAGTAAATTTTTCTTCCCATTAAAAAGAATGAATGAAACATAATTACGTATAAAATTATTCAACGAAACATATGAACAAAACCATTTTCATTATAAAATCGCTTAAAGTTTCATTATTTATGAATTTCTCTGGCAGCATATAATGAAGGTGCTTCGAAGAATGAAACATTTAATTATTTTACGCTAAATAAAAGCTTTCAAATATGCAACACAAACACATCTTTTTAGAATAATTAACTGCAAAATAATGTTTATTTTATGAGATCTTCTAATTTTCATAAGTAAATGTTAGGAAATAAAACTACATGAAATCTAAATAAATAAATGAATGAAATAAATATTATAAAACAAGGTAGCGGTGTTTAAGATATGATGATGACAAATTATTCTGGCGAAATAATTCTTTGTCTTTTATCCGCGCAAAAATGACTGAACTTTAAACTGAGTAATACTCGTACATTCCACAGTAGTCGAATATGCAGGGTGAATATGAACAAGTTACGAGCAATAATTGTCACAGAATTTATGGTCGGAACCCAAACGGTTAGTCCCTAGGTGTCATCGTAAATAAATGGTATAAAAAGGGTCAGCCCTCGCGTCCGAAATAAAAGTCTTCATTTCGACCTGAAACTTGATCAAATTCAAGATTTCATCAATTAGGATTAATGAAAATTTCTTCACAAGACCTTTGATAAACAACCCAGCGAACTTTATCCAAGTGCTTTCCTACGAAATCTTGAGCGATCTACGCCGATTCGCCGCCAACCTGTTACAAACAAATCAGGCCAGACAATTGAGATGTACAGATAGCCTCCTATGGTGGTTCGGATTTAATTAACTCTTTTTTTCGTTAATTAATGCACCGCAATTGACTACCAAGTAATCTTAAGACTGTTTATTCCTTTATTGTGTTTTTTGACGTACTGGACTTAACATGCCACTGCTCATCCAGGCAATCTCCGACCCCCAGCAGCCTAAAAAGTAACTGCCATTAACTTAAAAAAACATTTCTTCACCATGTAAATAGTATACATAGCAATTTCTGAATATTTCATGTAATTATTTTGAATTATGTGCATATATATTTTCAGTTAGTGCAGTAGTTCGCAAGCTTCGCCCCTTAGTGAAATAAGATTCGCTGCTTTAGGCCACGTGACCAGCTAAACGGGACCTGACCACAGCCCCTTATTAAGCTCCATCCAGTCTTGGCATTTTCTCGCAGGAAGCAATGGGCTTCAAAGTTTTTCCCACCTCAGCTTATACCTCATCTGGAGAATACGATTTACGGACTTTCTCAGATGGCAGGCCCATTTCGGGATTCACTCAGGAATCCGGAAAGAGCAGGGATAGAAATTTCCCGCTGCATGCCAAAATAATAACAATAGTAGCAAAATATCAAAGTACCCAATGGCATTTCAAACCGTGGATTGCCGAGAAGACTGCTGGTTATACAAGCTACGAAATTTCCAGGGCGATGGACTGGTCGAGGTAGTCCCACAGTTTGGCCACCAAGATCACCGAATCTCTCGTGTTTGGATTTTCCATGTAAGGCCATTGAAACCAATATGGATCTAGTTGCCAGGATTGCCGTTGTTGCCGGCAATATTCGGGAAATGCCTGGTGTTTTCGCAAATATGCATCAGTTCTTATCCCGCAGGTGTGAAGCCTGCATTACAGCTGGCAGATGGTCTTTTAAGCAATTTCTAAGAGCATGTTCTGTTAAAAAATATTTTCTGAAGTATCTCTTTTCATTCTTGTGTTAATTCTTTCTCTGAGCGGCGCAGGAGTTTAGATCCGTCATGAAAACCGGTATTTAAACAGCATTTATTAATTGAGTTTGTATAGTTACTTATTTCAGTCTGCATTTTCATAAACTTATGTTCATTAAGATGATATTTACATTATTAAAGAAAGTAAAAAAGCAAAATATTTTAAATTATAAGCTAATATATGCCAAGTAGCAAAACTTCTGATGACCGGATAAAGCCGGTCATAACGCTCAGAGGGTTTAATGTGACTGTGAAAAACTACCCTTTAACATATCAGCTTCTTCTAACTTTTTCTAGCTGCCTTCTATAACTCCCTAAAGTTTTGCTCAAATTCACCTTGCATAGGCCCAAATAAGAAAACGAGTTACTTGGTCTATGCGAGAGTTACCTGCATCAGGGAAGATTAAATTTCAGGGAAGATTTTAAAGCAATTAGCACGTATTCACGCAGGAAAACTACGAAAACTCCCCTGAATACAACACTTTCATTGGGATCTCAACCTATGTCAGACACCATTGTTTAACGATTTTAACGACCTCCCACTCAAATATGACAGTTCACGTCCTCCCAACTAAAGAGTAAATGAGCCTAATGTAATCAATATTTTAACATGATTTTGAATCAAAATTACTCTATAAATGTTACATTTGAATTTTGCTACCCAAATAAAAATAACAGCAATCTAAAAAATTGCATCTTTACAGGTTCATTAAATTTAAGTCTTCAAAAACTTAGTCAATTAGCGAAAGCAATGATAAGATAACTGGCGAGTTAAAATTTGCTAAACTATCGCATTTTTTATTTCCCAAATGAATTCAAGATTTTTCTGAATGAAAGCACCAGATATGTATCTTTGTTTCAGTTTTTAATGAGAATTCATTTCACTGAATAATTTTCAAGCAAAAATTTCAGGTAAATAGAAGATGCTATGTTGCCTAATTAAAGAAAATGAAATATTTTTACTTAATTAGCAATCAGAAATGAAGTAATTAATTAATTATTTATCACACTAAATTAATTTGGTATTTGAATTATTTTCTTAATTTTCCAGGTTATGAGCATAATTATTTTCAACCCTGTTCTAAGAAGATTTTATTTTTTAATCGAGCAAACATATTTTAATTGAAAG